GAATACATTTTTGCTAATTTTTACTGTAAAAAAACTTAAGACGCCTATAACAATCGGTGCCATTTACCGGATACCTCACACAAACATCCCAAATTTCAGTGAGAAATTAAAGTCACTAATAACAACAGACAAATGAATAAGCACCACCTTCTCTTAGCTGGAGACTTCAACATCAACCTTGGCTTACTAGATGATCAGCCTGTAACTGATTTTCATCAACAATATGAACAACACACTTCTCATACTAACAATAACTAAACCAACCAGGCTCACTGAGACAAGTGCAACCATAATAGACCACATATGGACCAATATACTAGCCCCCCTTAAATCAGGGATAATCACAGATAGCACTACAGACCACTACCCTACCTTCCTCCTGACAAACATTAGTAAACCACCACTTGAATACACAAAGTCTCATTTAGACTCCATGACGAGGCCTCAGTAAGGAAGTTCACAGCTGACCTAGAGACTGTTTGAACTGGCCTACAGAATTCTCCAAGGCCAATGGTATTGATGACTGGACAGACATTTTTTCTTAACAAATTACATTAGACTATACAACAAACATTGTCCTATAAAAACAAAACAGATCACAAACAAACGCTTGGTTGCCCATGGCTAACCAGCTCCCATTCTGAAATCCATTGACAAGAAACACCAATATGAAAAGCAATATAGACAAGGGTTAATACACAAAGATATTCTTAAACACTATTCATCAGCTCTCACCAAAGTAATAAAGAAAGCCAAACAACTATACTACTCCAGTAGATTCACAGACACTAGAGGAGATATAAAAAAAGACCTGGAAAACACTTCTCTCAGATTCTAGGGACCCGCAACTGAGAAAAACACCAAGAATATTGTCCTAACTAAACCTAATGAAACACCACTACATCCCACTGACACAGCTAACAAGATAAACGACTTCTTCTCAACCATAGGATCTAATCTCGCCAGTAAAATCCCACATACCAATGCCCATGCCGGCGACTACCTAGATGGGAATTTCCCTAATTCCTTCTATCTTGCACCAACTGAGCCCACGGAAGTCACCGAGATTATAAAGTCACTTAAAAATAACTCGGGGAATCTGTCTCATGGTCCCACCATTACTGTACAAGCGAGCGGCCCATGTCCTTTCGCATGCTATTTCATTACTCTTTAACAAGTCACTAGAGACTAGCACCTTCCCGAAACTACTCAAGATGGCAAGGGTTACACCAATACATAAAGGTGGTGACCCTACAGACTTAAACAACTATAGGCCAATATCTAACTTACCATTGCTATCCAAAATCTTTGAGAAACTCGTGCACAGGAGACTGTATTCATTTATAACGGCTCAAAACATACTCAACCCCTGCCAATTTGGATTCAGGAAAAATAAAAGCACTAATGATGCAATCATAAAAAATGCTAGATCTGCTTTACACAGCATTGGAAAATAAGGAATATCCACTAGGAATTTTTATTGACCTAAGAAAAGCTTTTGACACAGTTAGACCACGACATCCTACTCCACAAACTTGATCATTACGGTATAAGAGGCCATGCGCTTGCTTATTTCAAATCTTACATTACTAATAGGTATCAGTACGTCACCATTAAAGACACAGATCAGCAACACGGCCACTTGATACTGGAGTTCCGCAGGGAAGTGTCCTTGGTCCCCTGCTCTTCCTCATATACATCAATGACCTTCCAAACGTATCCCAACACCTGAAACCCATTCTCTTTGCTGACGACACGACTTATGTCATCTCTCACCCTAATCTTGCCACCCTCAACACCACTGTGAATGAGGAGCTGATCAAAAATATCGACTTGGATGACAGCCAATAAACTTACGCTTAACACTGACAAAACCTACTATATTATGTTTGGTAGCAGAGCAGGAGATGCACAAATTAACATTAAGATTGACAACACTCTAAGTTACCAGAAATAATGGGGCAAATTCCTAGGCTTATACCTTGACAACAACCTGAATTTCAGCACCCATATCCAGCATATAACCAAAAAAGTATCCAAAACGGTTGGGATCCTCTCCAAGATACGATACTACGTGCCGCAAAATGCCCTTCTCACACTATACACTCACTACTTATTTATCCATACCTCACCTATGCTATTTTGTGCTTGGGGGATCAACTGCAGCAACACACCTAAAGCCAATAATAACCCAACAAAAAAGCTGCAGTAAGAATAATCACTAAATCCCATCCCTGGCAACACACCCCCCCCACTCTTCATAGATCTAAACTACTCCCAGTTCAGTACATCCACACTTACTACTGTGCAATCTACATCTACAGGGCCTTAAACTCTAATATCAACCTTGACCTAAAACGCTTTCTTGATAGTTGTGACAGAACCCACAGGCATAACACCAGACACAAACATCTCTACGACATTCCCCGTGTCCGACTAAACCTTTACAAAAATTCAATGTATGTCAAAAGGCCCTAAAATCTGGAATACCCTACCTGAGAACTCTAGAACTGCAGACACATTCATCACCTTCAAAACTACCACCAGAAAACATCTTATCTCCCTGATACACCCTGTCAACTAACTACACGAATACCACCTGGTGGTTCACACTTACACTCACTGACTCATTTGACCATAAACAGAAATATTAATCTCAATCTTAAAATAATGAATCCTGTGATACTCCATTACTGAAACTATGTACTGTGCCAAAACAAAAGCATTTACATTGCTAAACTCACAAACTAGTATTTAGTCACTTAGCCATAATACCAACTTACCTCATAATTTGTAATATTTTACAATTAAGAATAAAACTAAGTCTGCCCAAAATGCCTAGCCATGCTAAGCGTTCTAGTGGTACACTCTGTAATCACTATTTTACTACATGTAAACCAAACAATAACCAAATTTCTGTAAACTCAGCATTGTAACCTTACAGAGAATAAACTTTGAATTTGAATTTGAATTTGAATGGTCACTCTGGAGTCACAGTCCAGCCAGCACTATCATGGTCACTCTGAGGGAGTCACAGTCCAGCCAGCACTATCATGGTCACTCTGACGGAGTCACAGTCCAGCCAGAGCTATCATGGTCACCCTGGGGGACGCACAGTCCTTACATCAAGGACCTGCCATAAGTGTCCTTGAAAATATTACCACCTCATTTTACCTAATCTACTAATTCTCAAGAAAGAAGTCAGGAAAAAAGTTGCCATCCTGGTCTCAACAAGCAGGATAATAGTTTACATCCTGGCCTCAAGCAGGATTAAAAGCTCACATCCTGTTCTCAGTAAGCAGGATTGAAAGCTCACATCCTGGTCTCAAGCAGGATAAAGGCTTGCATCCTAGCCTTAACAGGACACAATTTCCTCATCCTCCCAATATTATGCAGGAAATCCATCCTGCGGAGACGCCAGTGGAATATAGAGCAGTGGGCAAATTAATTAAGACAGGAGTAAATTTTGTGATTATCTCAATAATATTTCTTAGTCTCCGGCTTAATGTAGTTTGAGTTTCTTTCTTTTCATATGAGTTTATTACTGACTTCAGACAACCTGTGGTGTTATCCTGTGACTCTCGTCAGTGCTACAACGGCTGTCGTTCTGTAAGTCTATTCCTGCAATCGTGCTCTATGAGGGAATGTAGTTTCGCCAAATTCTCCCCTTCAGTTCATGATTAATGCTGAAATTCGTGTTGGATACTACACCTAGGAAGTGTGAAAGTATTATAGCTCTTACAAAACTTGCTAATTAGAGTGTCAGATCGCCGAAAATTTCAGCCTAGCAAAGTCAGCTGTTGGTGGGAATCTGAAAAGAGCTGACGACACTGGTGACTGTGGAAAACCAGCCAAGATCTACAGAGATATTTGGCTTCAGCTGGTGCTAATGTTGATTCTTTAGCCGGTCGACGATGGTTTCTTGAGGTTGCCAGAACTGCTAGAAAGCCGTTGAAGAAACAGTTATTGACTACTGTTATGAAGAAAAAACGGCAGTGAGTGTTCTAGTAGGTGGGACACAGTAATGGGTGTTCTAGTGGGTGGAACACAGTAATGGGTGTTCTAGTGGGTGGAACACAGTAATGGGTGTTCTAGTGGGTGGGACACAGTAATGGGTGTTCTAGTGGGTGGGACACAGTAATGAGTGTTCTAGTGGGTGGAACACAATAGTGGGTGTTCTAGTGGGTGGAACACAGTAGTGGGTGTTCTAGTGGGTGGGACACAGTAATGGGTGTTCTAGTGGGTGGGACACAGTAATGGGTGTTCTAGTGGGTGGAACACAGTAGTGGGTGTTCTAGTGGGTGGGACACAGTAGTGGGTGTTCTAGTGGGTGGAACACAGTAATGGATGTTCTAGTGGGTGGAACACAGTAGTGGGTGTTCTAGTGGGTGGGACACAGTAGTGGGTGTTCTAGTGGGTGGGACACAGTAGTGGGTGTTCTAGTGGGTGGAACACAGTAATGGGTGTTCTAGTGGGTGGAATACAGTAGTGGGTGTTCTAGTGGGTGGAACACAGTAGTGGGTGTTCTAGTGGGTGGGACACAGTAATGGGTGTTTTAGTGGGTGGAACACAGTAGTGGGTGTTCTAGTGGGTGGGACACAGTAATGGGTGTTTTAGTGGGTGGAACACAGTAGTGGGTGTTCTAGTGGGTGGGACACAGTAATGGGTGTTCTAGTGGGTGGAACACAGCAGTGGGTGTTCTAGTGGGTGGGACACAGTAATGGGTGTTCTAGTGGGTGGAACACAGTAATGGGTGTTCTAGTGGGTGGAACACAGTAATGGGTGTTCTAGTGGGTGGAACACAGCAGTGGGTGTTCTAGTGAGGGGGACGGGGAAGGAGAGGGAGGGGGAACACGTCGAGAGTGAAAGCGAGACTATCAGCAGGGAGGAAAGAGGGAGGGGAGGAGAGGGGAGAGAGAGACATCAAAGAGGGGAAGGGGGGAGAAGAAGAAGGAGGAGGTGGAACACGCCCCCTTTTTTTCCCCACCTCCCCCCCTCCCCTCACCCCTCCCCCACGGCCTGGATCTCCTCTTAGTGAGCAGACTGACAGTCAGAGCCCAGTCACACGCAGACAGTCAAGCTAGCAGGTAGTGGATTCTACACTCCCCTGAGCAGGTACTGACGGTGGCTCCCTTGTATTGTGGACACTTAAGTGGTTATACACCGAGAGGTGTGTATGTGTATACACCGAGAGGTGTATGTCTGTGTGAATATTCGCTTCGCGGGATTAAGTATTCTTGTCTGGTTGTTAAGGTGTCTGCAGGTTTAATGACCCTCGGGTAGTACATAGGTTTTAAATTCCCCCTATGAACCACCTAAGAGATGGATGCGTGTGTGGATGTGTGTGTGGATGTGTGTGTGGATGTGTGTGTGGATGTGTGTGTATATATACACTTGGTGGAAGTTTAACATTTATGTGCTCCTCCTGCCTCTTCTTGTTCCCCTGAAGATGTAATCGCCTGAAAGCACTCAGGGTTCACTTCCTATTTTCACTGTGATATTTTGATATACACTTGAAAGTTTGGCTTAAAAATCCCCACTTGTGGAATTTGTTGATTAGGTTAACTAAAGTTTGTCAGGAAACAGGATAGTGGTTTCTAGACGCGGGTTTTAACCATATCACCCGGTGGTCGGTGGCTCGGTGGCCTGGTGGCTAAAGCTCCCGCTTCACACACGGAGGGCCCGGGTTCGATTCCCGGCGGGTGGAAACATTCGACACGTTTCCTTACACCTGTTGTCCTGTTCACCTAGCAGCCAATAGGTACCTGGGTGTTAGTCGACTGGTGTGGGTCGCATCCTGGGGGACAAGATTAAGGACCCCAATGGAAATAAGTTACAGTCCTCGATGACGCACTGACTTTCTTGGGTTATCCTGGGTGGCTAACCCTCCGGGGTTAAAAATCCGAACGAAATCTTATCTTATCTTATCTTTTAAGTGGAGCTTCTGGCCCTCTAAGGCCTTCCACTGATCACCCCGTTAAAAATTACGGTTATAATTATAACCATTGTTTAATAAGGATTGGGTTAGTGGAGAAAACACACCTGTATAGACTTCAGGTCATGTAAAACACTTCGACCTGACGGATTTTCAGACCATATCCAAAGAATTCTTAAAGTCTGTGGATTAACATTGAAAAAGCCAATCCAGGGAAACTGTTTACATTTTCTAGTACATGTCCTGAACTATACACGACTGTCTAGAACCATATCCAGTTGGTATCACAGTAACCTGTGTTTTTAACTGGTTGTGTACAGGTAACCTGCAGCCTTAATAACCTCTTGTGTAGTAAACTCTATTAACCAACCTCTCAGCGCGTGTGTGTGTGTGTGTATATATATATATATATATATATATATATATATATATATATATATATATATATTAGTAAGGTCTCTGTATATACTAAGGTGTCTGTATGTGGAGGTATGTGTACATAGTGTATGTATATACACAGAGGGGATATTTACTTAATGAGAGTACTAAATCCGTACGGGGTTATTGTGCTCCTAGGTAAAATTCTCGCTCGTCCTGAGGAAATTAGCTCGTATGTGTATCTTCATAACTGAAGTCTATTATGACTTTCATGTAGCAGACTTTAAACCTCCAGTGGTAGTGTTTCGAACATTATTATCCCCCCCCCTGGATGACCCCGTGTAATGGCGAAAGGTGCAGAAGTCTTCTAGTCGAAGTGGGGAAGGGGGAGGGATGCGGAGGAGTATGTTTCGCTCTTAGTGGAATGCTGAGAGCATCACCAGAGAAACAGTCAGATAAACATACTCTTTAAGTCTGATTTTTGTCCTCTACATAGCTGCAGAAAAGGCTTTACTTAGGACAATTTATCTCTGCGTGAGCTTACGAAGTTTTGGTCTGACTTGTAAATGACCCAAGTCGAACCGACACGTCATCAGTTCTCTCTGTGGGGGTTATTCATGTATTGTTCCAGTCAAGGTATTGTGCCTTTTTGTTCTCTACTGACTTACCATTTCGCTAAGACCTTACTGAATCTTAAAATCCGTCTGCTCTGACGGGTACCATGCAGCTTGTTGCAGCTTAAGCAACACGTTAGCATCCATTGTAGTGAAAAACTTGGTTTAATGTTATGCGTCTTGTACGTATCTTGTGGACGGTAGTCAAAGGATTACAGAGGTACATAATGGGTCCAGGAACTGGACCCCAAAGTTATGATGGATAAAAAAGTTGGTGATATGAAGCTATTTACATGGTTTTTTATGCAGTTACACTTGTAATGAATAAATAATATTTCTGTAAGTATGATATAACTAACACAGACCATAGCTGAAATCAGTGAAATACTAAGGTACTCGTTATACACAGCATCCCAGGCAAATTAAGTGTTTTGTCCCCAAGACGCGACCCACAAGTCGACTAACACAAAGTACCTACTTACTGCTAAGAGGGGGGGGGGGGACATGGACAGCACACCTCTTACGGAAGCACTCCCACATATTTCCACCCGTACCGGGAATCGAACCACGGACCTCAATGTTTGAACAGGGTGTGCTACCAACCCAACTACGGCTTATTCAAAGACCTTTGTCTTTATTAGCAATGCGTATCTCAGAGCCGTGCAAGTGCGTAGAGACGAGACCTCCTTGAGAAAGTTTAAAGAAAGTGGCACATGAATGTGTGGAGGTGAGAGTAGGAAGCCGCCTTCCTCCCCAAGACAGTCCCGTTGTTCAATTGTCATTCCAACCCTGATGTTGTGACCGACTTACTGGCATAGCGGTCCAATGTTACTCTGGATTCGGGTTAGATTTCCTGCCCACGACTTTGGTAACGGGATGGGTATGGGATGCATAATAAAGAGCCTCTTAACACCTGTAACTTCTTCACCCAGCAGTGTTAGTCTATCATTCACGATTACATACACAGGAACATGTAATGGACCTTCTTGTTAGCTGTACTCGCCTAACTGTTAGATCTGTTTTATGGGTTTTTTTGACTGTTGAGACATGATTTTTTTTTCCTTTAAGAGTATGTTTTTAAAATGTATAATCTTGGTAGTAACAGTCTGTTTGTCAGGTGATAGATATCACACCTCACCCGGAACAAACTTGTCAATATACACGTACTATCCACTGACTATTATTTACAGGTAGCTTAACAGCGAATAGTTTGACCTGATAAAAAAAAAAACCTAGCCCAGTGGCTAACGCGATGGTCTGGAGTTTTGACTGACCGCGGGTTCAAACCCCACCCGTGTTATGGTTTGTTTGCAATCGTGTCATTACGATGTCGTGAATCATGTTGACCTGATAAGTTTTATTAAGTTTATTATCGCACTAAAATTCCATATAAGCGACATACTAAGGAGTCGAAAAAGTCCTACTATCTGGCTTTATTGAGGTTTTGGGTTTAGTAGGTTTAGTGTGAAGGTTTAGAGTAGCCTTGAGGGTTTCTATACAACGTAAGATATATATTCTTGAAATATTGCTGATTAAAAGGCTCTTGTTTCATGGAACTGGAGCTACCTTTCCTTAGATTAAAATGCCTTCTTTACCCCCCTACACCACTAGTCAAGAACAGATTAAACTATGGACCGGGAGCTGTGATTCGACCCCCGCAGCCACATATAGGCGAGTACACTCCGTCATCACGCAGGTTATATAGCGTGACTGAGATAATTTAACGCTAAAACGCTATTTTTTCCTGACTCAGTCTTTGCGTCAATGTTAGGACGCAACAAAAACAGTGTTAGTGGTTTAAGGTCTCCTGACGCACTGACCTACATAACTTTCTCAACAGACGTTGCTACAGACAGGTGCTACACGGGGCTGCGGCCGCTGAGTTACGCTCGGTGCCTAGACGCAGTCTTTAATGGCTGATGCGTCTTGTGGGAAGGATTCAACGCAGACTTGCGTATGTTTTGACGCCAAGTTTTAAATCTGCATTAAAGAACCCATTTTTTTTTTTTTTTGGGGGGGGGACTTTCATGAACTTTGAAATGTTCACCCATGGTCGACTTGTTCAAAAAGTTCACTTTGGTCTGATTAATCTCCCTCCCCTCCTTTTCCTCTACAGGTTTAGCGCTCCAGGAGTACAAGAGTTGGTTATTAATCTTAAGCAAAAAATTTCTAACTTTTTTAATAGTTAAATTGTCAACTGTCTGGTAGGGATGACTCCTTCCCCCCCCCCCCTCCCCCCGGACAAGAACCTTAGGGATGCCTCGGCGGATCAGCTTCAAACCTTCAGCGGCCTGGTGGTCCCTACAGGCAAGAACGTTGACCAATGTTTAGCAGGACCTGGTTGTTTGGTCCTCCAGTCATTATCATCATTCCATCTGTGGATTGGAAGTTACTTAACACGAGTCTCCATTAGCCACCTGTCTACAGGTGTTCCCAGCTGCAGCTGGTGTGTGTACTCTCCTATATATACTCGCCAATTTGTGGTTGCAATGATCGATTCACAGCTCCTGGCCCCGCCTCTTCACTGGTCGCTACTAGGTCCACTCTCTCCCTGCTCCATGAGCTTTATCATACCTCTTCTTAAAGCTATGTATGGGTCCTGCCTCCACTACATCACTTCCCAGATTGTTCCCCTTTCTGACAATTCTGAAGAAATACTTCCTAACATCCCTGTGACTCGTCTGGGTCTTCAACTTCCAGTTGTCACCATGTTGCTGTGTCCCATCTCTGGAACATCCTGTCTCTGTTCACCCTGTCGATTCCTCTCTAATTTGTCTAAATCATATCTCCCCTTATCTCTCCTGTTCTCCGCTGGACTCGCAAAATATAACTTTTGTTTCCACACTAACTCTTAACTGTGCATGAACGTTGTGCAGTATCAAAGATCAATAAAACGTGCAACATCTGGGTATCTTTAATTTGTAGACTTCTCGCCATCCAGTTTCTTAATCAGTACATCGTCTGATTCTTTTTGCCTTAATCAGTACAAATTCAAGAATAAAGCCACTGTTTGGCGAATAGTCTACAAATAGATACCCAGATGTTTCACATGTCTGATTCTTTACTTTTAATTTATGCTAGTTGTTTTAACCTGTTATACAGGTGTTGCAACACCTGCATATCCATCATCGGAAGATTGTATTCATAGAAAGCTCTACTTCCGTACGTGCATGTTTGTAAATCCAGGCTTTGAGGTCAAGGATTGAGGAAGTAAACGTAAGAGAAAGCAGAGATGTGAGCAGCAGGAGGGAAGGTGAACAGTAGATGTTTGTGGGCAGGAGAGAAGGTGAACAGGTGTGGTGTACCACAGGGGTCACTGTTTAACACTTCTTCACAAAATCGACATAGCTGCAGGAATACACCATTAAAAGAATTAAAGTTCAGTGCCTTCAGTCCATCCTCTTAGGAAAGCTTTCCGATAAATGTTATAAATTTCGTTATCCATCTCTGCATATTTTCCAGCTAATTTGTGTCCCTTCGGTAATATGGACACCAGAACTGAACACACAATCTAAATGGGGCCATACCAAAGATAAAATTTAAGTTTTTAATTTCAGAACTTTGTACTTCTTGGGCTAGAACCTGGAAATCATATTTTAACTTTGTGAAGTACGTATATTGAAGTTTAAAAGTGCAGTAGTTACTGCCTGGGATTAGAACTTTTCTTTGTTCACATGCACTGCACCTGCCACATCAACCTGTCCAGTTCATGGTGTAAGCATGTTCACAGCAGAAATTGATTGCCTATTGTCAAATGTACAATTGCTTCTTCATATTCCCACAGCACCATGGAGATGAACTCTTCTCCAAGCTGAGGGACTGATCATCTCAAATGTTATTTCTCCACAGTTGATGGATTGCTTACATAATCTCTACTACCATGCCAGCTGCCTCTGTACTCTACTGAAAAAGCCTACTGTGTAGGCTAAATGTTTTGGGAATAAAAATACCAAATTGTTGCACAAGTCTTGCTCAACAAAGTGGTTTAAAAGTAATAGTTGAAGTATTTGCTAGCATTGTCTTTGGCTAAATGATGATAATTCAGCACTCTGAAGGAGGGATGTTAATGTGCAGTTTATAACTGTAGTGTAGGCACGCCTCTGGCAAGACAGTGTTGGAGTGAATGATAAGTTCCCTTTTCAGGTCACCCTGCCTTGATGGGGAAACAGCTGATGCGTTAAGAAAAATAATTCTTTTTTTTCAGCATGGAAAATAGTTTGTACAGAGATGGTGACCTTTAGCTGTACATGCATAAGGTGCAAAGTTATGCAGAGCATTAAGAATACTATGGCAATAGTTATTAGCTGCTTATGCGTAAATATATTAAGCATCTACAGACTAGATAACCTGGATTTACCACTAGGGCAGGTGGAAATGGATCCATTTCCTTACACCTGTTGCCTCTGTTCCCCTACCATTTAGATAGGTGCAAGAGTAATGACTAATAGCTCTGGGTGGCATCCCAATTTGAGGTGGTGGAGGAGGAAGCAAAATTACCCAAATGAGTTCCTAAGACTTCAGGCTAACATGTTAATGTGTGCATTAAACATATGATTTACTCTGGTAACTTGCGGTACCTTCATCTTAATGTTCCATAAAACTGCCACAGAAAATTTTCTGCAATAAAATCTTATTTCCCACAGAATGTTGCGAATCAGTGTGTTGTTGGCGGTGCTGGTGGGAGTAGCAGTTGCACAGCGCCAACTCATCCGTCCAGACCCCCAAGCTTGCAAGAACCGCATTAAGCATGCAACAACCTTCAGAAATGGACACTATTACTTCTTCTCCTGGACCCACGGTCCCACCAAAGAACACCAGCGTGACTGGCTTGATGCCAGGAACATCTGCAGGTAACTCGTGCTTCCCACATTCCTTCCTACAGAATCTCCAAATCCACAGGATTATGCCCACAAATTTGGGTTTTTGAATTTTCAGTATTGTACATGATGAATTTCAAAGCACTTCAGTGATTTCACTACTAAAATTCCACCTTGCCAAATAAGAGAATTGTAATTAACATTGGACATGCTGACTCTGGGATATTGAGGCTACTAACCTCAGCATGTCTAACAATGATAGTTTGGAGAAGCTACAAGTTAACAGTCGGGTATGTCATTCATGTCAAAGCTTTCATGCATTCATCATATCAGGACTAAGTGTGCAGCACCATCATGGAACACACACCTGAAAAAGCATGTCAAACTGCAGGAAGCATGAGGGTTTGCAATTAGAATAGTGCCAAAACTAGGGGAAATAAACTATTGAGGGACTAAAGGAACTCGGCTGACATAAGGATAGAACTAGGATAAAATATACAGAGGACTTGATAGGAAGGACATGGGATATTGCTAGAGGAAAGAGACGGTTATGTTAACATTGGGGAAATTAACTTCAATGACAAAGTAGTGAAGGAAGGATACATGCATAGTTCTCAAAGGTATAACCAGACCCACATAACTAGGATGGAGTAAATCTTGCCAGTTCAGAAGAAATTCCAGAAGACTAACCATCTCCCACTTTCCCTACAGCCCCACAAAAGTATACAGATGAAAAATAGTTACAGGAATGTTAAATATGATTACTCAAAACTAAGCACTAAACTCTCAATAGTTATACAGGATTCCAGAGTGGGTTAAACTAGAAAAGGAGGCAGAATCTCCTTCCCTTCAGTGTTTAGGAATGAGAGATATCTTGTCCAGGAGGCTCGAATCCATTGAATCTCTCCCAGATTAACCAAAAAAAGTGAGGTGAACAGTGTTTAGACTCCACACCTCTCCTCAGTGAGTGTAACCCCCCCCCCCCAAGTCATGAACCCACTACAAAAATCTGATCCATACCTCCACTCTGATCACAAAGTGACAATATTTTTTTTTTTATTATCACACCGGCCGATTCCCACCAAGGCAGGGTGGCCCGAAAAAGAAAAACTTTCACCATCATTCACTCCATCACTGTCTTGCCAGAAGGGTGCTTTACACTACAGTTTTTAAACTGCAACATTAACACCCCTCCTTCAGAGTGCAGGCACTGTACTTCCCATCTCCAGGACAATATAACACTAAAATCTGCGAATCTGTAAAAATGTTTCTTGGATACGGGAAGCACAGTATGAAGAAAAGGACAAAATGAGTAGGACGATTGTGGTCCAAACTCAGGAAAGACACAACCTCACTGGGAACGACTTCAACAATTGATAAGACAGTGATAAAAGGAAATGCTTTTTAGGCTTGTGAAAAGTATACAGAACTAGATGAAGTGGTGGAAGTTAAGTCCATGTAAAGCAGATATTTTCTTGAGCAGGAAATAAGACACAGCTTTACTTAAGCTGTAGTCTACTTTACAAGAGCTAAGGCTCTGTGCCCCACCAACCCCTCAAGGAAGGTTCCTTGATGTTGGTGAGGGGCTCTTGATTTAGGGAATTGGATCTGTGCTCCAGTTCCCCGAATTAAGCCTGAATGCCTTCCACATCCCCCCCCCAGGCGCTGTATAATCCTCCGGGTTTAGCGCTTCCCCCTTGATTATAATAATAATAATGTGCCCCACCAAGCACAATTTGGTGCCATACACATGCTCGTACATTAATACATACACACATTTGCTCTGTACAGTCCATGTATTTTTTGCCTTGCTATATGTCAAACAATTTAGACAGTTTCCCTTAAACTGTCTAAACGTAGATCTACGTTTGTGGCCGTAGCGCTCTGAACGTAGAACTACATTCCTTTTACATAAACAATGTAAAATCGAATGTAGATCCACCTTCGGAGCGCTACACGTGTGAACATAGATCTACGTTTGGACAGTTTAAGGGCTAAATACCCAGGCAACACAGAATTAATAAATGCCTCCACTCTTTCCCAGGAAACATTGTCAGGATCTGGTGAGCATCGAAACCGAGGATGAGAACAGGTTTGTGACTGAGGCTGTCAAGAATGGCAACATCCAGTACATCTGGACCTCTGGCCGCAAGTGCAACTTCGATGGCTGCGACAGGCCCGATCTGCAGCCTCCAATTGTCAATGGCTGGTTCTGGTCTGGCTCATCAGCTCGCATCTCCCCTACCAACAGCACCAGTGGCTGGAGAGGTGGCTGGTCCAGGACCGGAGGATCTGGAAGACCTCAACCAGATAACCGCGAGTTCACAGAAACCCGCACCGACGAGTCTTGTATTGCTATCCTCAACAACTTCTACAACGATGGCATAGTGTGGCACGACGTTGCCTGCCACCACGTCAAGCCCTGGGTGTGTGAAGATTCTGAGGAACTCCTCAGATTTGCTAGGTTCACTTACCCTGAGGCTCAGATCCCTTAAAATACTTGACAGCAAAATATCTTAATTACAAGGTGTTGTTTTTCCCAGTTCTACACTTATTCATACATACAAACAGCACATATGTTCACTTGTAATGATGCACATTACACTAAATTACTATACTAATTAACTTGTACTGAACAGTACTACGAATTTGATCCTCTTACTGTAATATACTATAATGTAAAAACAAGCGCTACACAAATAGTGGTTTACCTAACAATAGCCTTGCTCATCACTATGCTCTTAACCTCTCAATATATCCTCACTCTCCATCTCCTGTACCACTTTTTATATTCTAATTATTTAATTTTTAATAAATATTTAAGTGAATGATTGTCTTCTAAATTAACATCGGCTGGACCCGGTTCAACCTGTGGTGTACATAGAATTCCAAATTAATAATTCTCAGCATTCTTGTATGTCTGAATAAACCTATTATATTTTTAAAGACTTGTTTTATAATCTTTATTCTCACTCTTAAATAAAAATGTCATGTATAATTTGCATATAAATATTCAGATTACTGTACATAAGGGAAAAGCACTCGACCATCAGGAGTCATCAGGTTAGATGCAAGTAAAGGAAGTGCAGTTCTAATTCTGTGGCGCAAAAGTAATGACTTAAATACAAAATTAATGTTATTTTCACGCAAGTCTGTATGGTAGAGGAGACTACTGAGGTGTTCTTAGCCTGCAGATAACACTGGCAAGTGCTGTAAGACCCATAGTTTAGTGCTTAGTTATGATGATAATATACTGGTAGGTACTACTTGTAAGCTGCTTCACACCCTGGTTAGGGGGCTCTTTATCTAGGGAATTGGATCTGTACTTCAGTTCCCTGAATTAAGCCTGAATACCTTCTACATTCCCACCACAGATGCTGTATAATTCTATGGATTTAGTGCTTCCCCCTTGATATAATAAGCTGCTTCACCACTAGTGTCTTAAGTGGCAGTATTTGGGTACTGAAAAAAGAATGTGTAGGTGTCAAGTTTAGATAACGCAATAGTTTAACTTTAAGACGAACCAAAACAAATTGTCCTCCTTGATGTGCTGTATGATCCTTATGGGTTTAGTGCTTGGTTATGATTATAATCTCTGATGGTGAGGTCACATTAACATGGTGGTGAGGGTGTGGTAAGGGACAGGGACCCCTTGTCGGGCAAGAGTGCCACTCTCCCCACAAGGTATGTCTTGCTGAGAACCCACCCCTCTTCTGACATAGTGGGGATATTAACTTTAATATGCTCATGTTCCTGGCAGATGACATGGAATGTTTCTTACACAGATTGTGGAATGTGAAAAATAATGTTGAAAAGTTTTACTTGTCTTGTGATTGATTTATGTTATGTGAATTGGTCATATCAGTATGGCATTGGTATTGATAGCCTAAATTTGTGGTGTAATGTTAGTAAGGAAACAGTAGAACCATGATATCCACTGATTCATGTATCCACAGTTTACTGTGGCCTAAAAATACTTCTTAATTTTGCATAATGGCCCCAAAGCAAAAAAAGTAGAAAAGCTGGCAGTTCTTCAAAGCCTAAGAGAAGCCTTGTGGAAAAAGTGATAATTCTCCACTTACTGAGCATAATTTATCAAACTTTATAAAAGGTATGTACAGGACTTTTATATATCTTCTGCTACTATCCACGGCTTCGGTAACCATGGCAGGTCCTCGGAATGTATCCCCCTAGGGATATGGGGTCAGACTGTACGTTTACTATTTTTTTTTTTTTTTTTTTCAACAAGTTGGCCGTCTCCCACCGAGGCTGGGTGACCCAAAAAAGAAAAAATCCCCAAAAAGAAAATGCTTTCATCATCATTCAACACTTTCACCACACTCACACATATCACTGTTTTTGCAGAGGTGCTCAGAATACAACAGTTTAGAAGCATATACGTATAAAGATACACAACATATCCCTCCAAACTGCCAATATCCCAAACCCCTCCTTTAAAGTGCAGGCATTGTACTTTCCATTTCCAGGACTCAAGTCCGACTATATGAAAATAACCGGTTTCCCTGAATCCCTTCACTAACTATTACCCTGCTCGCACTCCAACAGATCGTCAGGTCCCAAGTATCATTCGTCTCCATTCACTCCTATCTAACACGCTCACGCACGCTTGCTGGAAGTCCAAGCCCCTCACCCACAAAACCTCCTTTACCCCCTCTCTCCAACCCTTTCGAGGACGACCCCTACCCCTCCTTCCTTCCCCTATAGATTTGTATGCTTTCCATGTCATTCTACTTTGATCCATTCTCTCTAAATGACACAACCCCTCTTCTGCCCTCTGACTAATGCTTTTATTAACTCCACACCTTCTCCTAATTTCCACACCGAATTTTCTGCATAATATTTATACCACACATTGCCCTTAGACAGGACATCTCCACTGCCTCCAACCATCTCCTCGCTGCTGCATTTACCACCCAAGCTTCACATCCATATAAGAGTGTTGGTACCACTGTACTTTCATACATTCCCTTCTTTACCTCCATAGATAGCATTTTTTGACTCCACATATACCTCGACGCACCACTCGCCTTTTTTTCCTCATCAATTCTATGATTAACCTCGTCCTTCATAAATCCATCCGCCGACACATCAACTCCCAAGTATCTGAAAACATTCACTTCTTCCATACTCCTCCTCCCCAATTTGATATCCACTTTTTCTTTATCTAAATCATTTGATACCCTCATCACCCTACTCTTTTCTATGTTCACTTTCAACTTTCTACCTTTACACACATTCCCAAACTCATCCACTAACCTTTGCAATTTTTCTTTAGAATCTCCCATAAGCACAGTATCATCAGCAAAAAGTAACTGTGTCAATTCCCATTTTGAATTTGATTCCCTATAATTTAATCCCACCCCTCTCCCGAGCACCCTTGCATTTACTTCTTTTACAACCCCATCTATAAATATATTAAACAACCATGGTGACATTACACATCCCTGTCTAAGACCTACTTTTACCAGGAAGTATTCTCCCTCTTCTACACACCCTAACCTGAGCCTCACTATCCTCATAAAAACTCTTAACAGCAAAAAGGTTCTAGTGCTCTAAATATACCACCCCTCAAGGAGGTTCCTTGATGGTGAGCTCTTGATCTAGGGAATTGGATCTGTTTCAGTTCACTTAATTAAGCCTAAATACGTATCTTTTCCCCCAGGAGCTGTATAATTCCTATGGTTTTAGTGCATGATATAAAAACATTTATACCATCAGTCATATATAGTTATGGGGCAGTGCTAAAGTGAGTCTATTCCTGTGGAAAGGGAATTCAGTCAAGTTTGATCCAAGGGACTGAAGGGTACCTCCATTTCACGAGCATAGAGGAACCTTCTTTGAGCAGTTGGCCAGTTATACAGCTCCCATATAGTGTCCTCCACTCACTGGAGGAGCCGTTCTGTTGGACAATTGACCGGGCTGAAGCTACTAATGTACTATTATACAAAAAACAAAAAAATCATAAATTTATACCAAACCTTGAGCACTACATGGATGAGTTATGTTGTCACAGAAGCCTGCACTATGGGCAAACAGAATCCAGGGTGGTATGTTGGTAAGAATTAGCATTTTACTATTCACAAAGTGCTAAACCTGGATGGGTCATGTTTTGAAGACGAGTTCAATTATTTCTCCCATTTGTCTATTTCCTGAATCAATCACATGAACAGTCATGTACAACACCCATTTATTGTTTAGCGCTTTATATGATTTTCATCTAAATAAAATGTTTCATTTACGGACTATTTTGCTGCAATAGCTACCACCTTCACACCCGTTGGCAACAACATTGGTCTACTCTACTCGGTAACAAGCTTCAATCTATTAAACCGAGTATAGGTTACTGGCCGTCTTCTTGTCACCAGTGCCGAGGTTGGGAGACTACTCTCTCCCGTCTCAGCATTGGCCATACTCGTCTTACTCATGAATATCTCATGGAGAGGCGCCCTGCTCCTCTCTGTGAGAATTGTCAGGTTCCATTATCGGTCAGCCACATTCTGTTACTGCCCACTTTATCAACGAGCACGCAGAATTTACCTCCAACGTCGTTTTCACTCCGCTGCTCTCTCTTTACCTTCCCTTCTTGCTGATGGACCCACCTTTCATCCGGACCCCTCTCATTGACTTTTTGACAACAACTGACTTACTTCACAAACTCTGATGATACCTTCAGCCCTTTCTACCTCGATCTCTTGCTACCCTCTACCCTGCACTATCCCCTGCCCCGCTGTTTTCTGTAACCTACTGATCGCCCCTCCCCCCTTCTGCCGCCCAATACCCTAGCTTCCTTTCCTACCCTGCAGCGCTGTATAGCCCTTGTGGCTTAGCGCTTCTTTTTTATTATAATAATAATAATAATCTAAATAAAATGTGCTTTATGAGGACAGTACTTGGCTTAATTTGACTTTGCTGTTTATGAGATTTCCCCCACTTTTAACACAAACTCCCTCTAAGTTTTTGACAGCAATAGATTTCTTACGCAAACTTTGATTATACTTCCTTTAATACTTCACACTGTCCTTACTAACTCTACCTCTGTTATACTCTCCACCCTCACTAGTCTCTGATCATGCATATTAAACATTTAGCATGCCCTACCCTGCAGCCCTGTATGACCCTTGTGGGTTTAGCCCTTAATGATTTTAATTGAGAGATTTTTCACAAAGTTAAAAGTGTAAGACAAGAGTTTCATTGCTGACACGACTTTGTCTCTCTGCACCAAGAAGACATCACTGGAGATTAGTCACCTTCACATATTTTTCTCTATTGCATTTGTTCAACCAACTTTAATAAGTTACGTGTATTTAAATTATACAAATTTATTTTGGGAACAGCATTTATTAAGATAAATTAACATTCGCAAAACTTAATTTTTATGAATAATAATGTGCCTATTTTACATTACGAGAAACATTAACATGTATATGTACATAAATTAATTTTTTATTATCACACTGGCCGATTCCCACCAAGGCAGGGTGGCCCGAAAAAGAAAAACTTTCACCATCATTCACTCCATCACTGTCTTGCCAGAAGGGTGCTTTACACTACAGTTTTTAAACTGCAACATTAACACCCCTCCTTCAATAAAATAATAAAATAATAATAAAATAATAAAATAATAAAATAATAAAATGTTTAAATAAAATTAATACTGCAAGTCTAAATTATGATGGATTCATTGTGTGAACCTAGCGATTATCTTGATCCTTGCAACTGAATCTACCCTCCGTTTCCTTGGATCAAACCTGATTAAATTCCACTTCCAAGGCACTGGCTCAGAGCTGTAAACAGTCACCATTACTCTTTCTCTAGCTGTCTTGCCAGAAGTGCATAAATATAATTCACATGACTTCGAAATACAGCTTCATCAACCATCCTTTGTAGTACAATGATTGAACCTGCATTAAGATGACAAATAACTATGGAAGTTCAGAATATTCCTGATCTCTTCTTTTCACATACTGCAGCAAGTTCATTATTGCTGCTGGTGTTATGCCTTCTATACGAGTCGCTGATGCTATCTGAAAATAAAAAAGAGGAAATTCGGAAGATAAAAGAGTAAACCTTCTTATAAAACATGCATTGAATTCCTGAAAACTGGAGGTGAAGAACATATGGTAGAAAAAGGTTATGTTCCATACACCTCCAAACTCTTAACCTGTAAAGGTCATACATCGCCTGGAGATAATCACATTTGATAAGAGTGGAAGAGTAGTGCCAATTCCTTGGATGAATGACCTTTTATTACTATCAAGGTGCCCTTCCCCACTCCCTCTTGAAAGATGACACTGGGATAAGAGGGAAACATAGTGATGAAATATAACATGGGAAACACATCCAGCTTTTGTTCTCACTATGAAACTATCATACAGACTAGGGTAGCAGCACACTGCCAATGCATCCATATTTGCTAAGTAAATAAAAAAAGGTATCTGAGTTTGTTTTATAATGGTAGGCAAAAATTTGAAAAATTTTGATTTAGGGATCAAGTACAACACCACTCATGGATTTAATTTATATACATTCACACACTGTAACATATACAAAGAAATTAAATTGTTTATTGTTTTTAATCTAAGCAATTCAGTATCCAGCCTCAAGTGTTGTATGTTATGCTTTCTCTAGTGAAGTTGTTTTATCTCTCACAGTACAGCTAATAGATCAAACAAGGTAATGTCATAGTTACCATCTTGGCCAGACTCATTACAAGAACTGAGTCCTGGAAGTGGAAAGTACAGTGACTGTACTCTGAAGAATGGGTGGGGAAGTTACAGTCCTGGAAGTGGGAACTACACTACCTGCACTCTGAAGGAGGAGTGGGAATATTTACAGTTTTGAACTGTAATATAATAATCCACTGTCAAGACAGTGATGGTGACTTTCTTTTTTTTTTTTGGGGGGGGGTCACCCTACCTCAGTGAGAGGCAATTGATTTGCTAAAAACAAAAAAACTAACACAATATCAGCCAATAATATTGGTTAATGGTATTGTGTATCTGTTAGCACTACTTATAGGAGTGGTCATCAGCAGACCACAAGCAACTTCATTCTAGCAATATGTAGCCCCAGGTTAAAACTTATGACATCTGAAGCAGAAACAGGATATTATTGGGCAAATAAAGAACAAAAAGGCACAATACCATGACTAGAACAATACAGTACGACCAGTCAGTGGTCTAAGTCGAACTGAAACATCGTCATGATTTTCTTTCTCCTATGTATGGGTTATTTGTGTAATGCTCAAATAAAAAATGTATTCAATATTGGTTACCAAAACCTCAACTCTTACCGTAGTGGGTCGAACCTGAGAGAACTTGGTGCGCATCTCATTTGACATGCTGATAGATGGACTGAAATTGAAGAGGCAAATAAAAATACGACATCTCTTTTTGTGGATAATTTTTTTTTAACATACTGGCCAACTCCCACCGAAGTAAGATGACAAAAAAAATCACATTCATTCAACAGCTGTGTTGCTAGAAGTATGCTGACATTACAATACAAATGACACTCTAAATAGCAACATCCTCACACCTCCATCAAATCAAAATCAAAATTTTCTACTTCTTTGTGTAATATACAAACTGAAGTTTACATGTAATAAGGTATTGTTAAGCAAAAAGATAGCCACTAGCATACTTGAGTATTTTGGGCAGGTATGAGAGTGCAGGCACTACTACTCACTTCAGGTACCAATATCTAATTTCATTCCATTTCTCTATATTTCCTCCCTCCAATCTGATATCCAATCTTTCATTGCATAGACTTTTATTTGTTACTCTCATCACCTTGTGCTTTTCTATGTTAACTTTCAATTTCTTTCTTGTACATACCATCATCCCACATTCTTCCACCAATATTTTCAAATTCCCTTCAGAATCTCCTAAAAGAACTGCATCATCAGCAAAGAACAGCTGTGACAACTCCCATTTTGTATCAAATTGATCATTTTTCAATCCCACACCTCTCCCTAACACAACAGTATTGATTTTTTTTACTACCCCATATTTTTTTTTTTTTTTATCACACTGGCCGATTCCCACCAAGGCAGGGTGGCCCCGAAAAAGAAAAACTTTCACCATCATTCACTCCATCACTGTCTTGCCAGAAGGGTGCTTTACACTACAGTTTTTAAACTGCAACATTAACACCCCTCCTTCAGAGTGCAGGCACTGTGCTTCCCATCTCCAGGAGTCAAGTCCGGCCTGCCGGTTTCCCTGAACCCCTTCATAAATGTTACTTTGCTCACACTCCAACAGCACGTCATGTATTAAAAACCATTTGTCTCCATTCACTCCTATCAAACACGCTCATGCATGCCTGCTGGAAGTCCAAGCCCCTCGCACACAAAACCTCCTTTACCCCCTCCCTCCAACCTTTCCTAGGCCAACCCCTACCCCGCCTTCCTTCCACTACAGACTGATACACTCTTGAAGTCACTCTGTTTCGCTCCATTCTCTCTACATGTCCGAACCACCTCAACAACCCTTCCTCAGCCCTCTGGACAACAGTTTTGGTAATCCCGCACCTCCTCCTAACTTCCAAACTACGAATTCTCTGCATTATATTCACACCACACATTGCCCTCAGACATGACATCTCCACTGCCTCCAGCCTTCTCCTCGCTGCAACATTCATCACCCATGCTTCACACCCATATAAGAGTGTTGGTAAAACTATACTCTCATACATTCCCATCTTTGCCTCCAAGGACAAAGTTCTTTGTCTCCACAGACTCCTAAGTGCACCACTCACCCTTTTCCCCTCATCAATTCTATGATTCACCTCATCTTTCATAGACCCATCCGCTGACACGTCCACTCCCAAATATCTGAATACATTCACCTCCTCCATACTCTCTCCCTCCAATCTGATATCCAATCTTTCATCACCTAATCTTTTTGTTATGCTCATTACCTTACTCTTTCCTGTATTCACTTTTAATTTTCTTCTTTTGCACACCCTACCAAATTCATCCACCAATCTCTGCAACTTCTCTTCAGAATCTCCCAAGAGCACAGTGTCATCAGCAAAGAGCAACTGTGACAACTCCCACTTTATGTGTGATTCTTTATCTTTTAACTCCACGCCTCTTGCCAAGACCCTCGCATTTACTTCTCTTACAACCCCATCTATAAATATATTAAACAACCACGGTGACATCACACATCCTTGTCAAAGGCCTACTTTTACTGGGAAATAATTTCCCTTTTTCCCTACATACTCTACTGATTATTTTATTATAATAAAGGGGGAAAAACTAAACCCGTAGGATTATACAGCGCCTTGGGGGATGGAAGGCTTTTCAGGTTTAAATTCAGGGAATGGAGCACAGCCCAAATTCCCTGATCAAGGCCCTCCCCAGCGTAAAGGGAAAAGCCTTCCTTGGGGGGGACTCTAACTTGAGCCTCACTTCCCTCGTAAAAAAACTCTTCACTGTTTCGAAACCCTTTACCCCCTAACCATACCCCTGAACATCTCCCACATTCCCCCCCACCCCCCCTGTATACCCCTTTTTCCCAAATCCATAAATCCCACAAAGCCTCTTTAGCCTTATCAAAATACTTTTATTATATGTTTCACTGAAAAAAACCCCTGGCCCACACCCCCTCCTTTCCTAAAACCCCCTTTTTATCTGCTATCCTATTCTCCATCTTACTTTAATTTTTTTCAATAAAAAAACTTACATACCTTTACCCGGTATATCAACAGACTTTTTTTTTTTTTTTTTTTAAAAGTTGGCCATCTCCCACCGAGGCAGGGTGACCCAAAAAAAAAAGAAAATCCCCAAAAAGAAAATGCTTTCATCATCATTCAACACTTTCACCACACTCACACATAATCATGGTTTGCAGAGGGGGCTCAGAATACAACAGTTTAGAAGCATTATGTATAAAGATACACAACATATCCCTCCAAACTACCAATATCCCAAACCCCTCCTTTAAAGTGCAGGCATTGTACTTCCCATTTCCAGGACTCAAGTCCGACTATATGAAAATAACCGGTTTCCCTGAATACCTTCACTAAATATTACCCTGCTCACACTCCAACAGATCGTACATCCCAAGTACCATTCGTCTCCATTCACTCCTATCTAACACGCTCACGCACACTTGCTGGAAGTCCAAGCCCCTTGCCCACAAAACCTCCTTTAACCCCCCTCTCCAACCCTTTCGAGGACCGACCCCTACCTCGCCTTCCTTCCCCTATAGATTTATATGCTTTCCATGTCATTCTACTTTGATCCATTCTCTCTAAATGACCAAAACCACCTCAACAACCCCTCTTCTGCCCTCTGACTAATACTTTTATTAACTCCACACCTTTTCCTAATTTCCACACTCCAATTTTTCTGCATAATATTTACACCACACATTGCCCTTAGACAGAACATCTCCACTGCCTCCAACCGTCTCCTCGCTGCTGAATTTACCACCCAAGCTTCACACCCATATAAGAGTATTGGTACTACTATACTTTCATACATCCCTTCTTTGCCTCCATAGATAACGTTTTTTTGACTCCACATATTCCTCAATGCACCACTCACCTTTTTTCCCTCATCAATTCTATGATTAACCTCATCCTTCATAAATCCATCCGCCGACACGTCAACTCCCAAGTATCTGAAAACATTTACTCTTCATACTCCTCCTCCCCAATTTGATATCCAATTTTTCTTTATCTAAATCATTTGATACCCTCATCACCTTACTCTTTTCTATGTTCACTTTCAACTTTCTACCTTTACACACATTCCCAAACTCATCCACTAACCTTTGCAATTTTTCTTTAGAATCTCCCATAAGCACAGTATCATCAGCAAAAAGTAACTGTGTTAATTCCCATATTGAATTTGATTCCCCATAATTTAATCCCACCCCTCTCCAGAACACCCTAGCATTTACTTCTTTTACAACCCCATCTATAAATATATTAAACAACCATGGTGACATTACACATCCCTGTCTAAGACCTACTTTTACCGGGAAGTAGTCTCCCTCTCTTCTACACACCCTAACCTGAGCCTCACTATCCTCATAAAAACTCTTTACAGCATTTAGTAACTTACCACCTATTCCATATACTTGCAACATCTGCCATATTGCTCCCCTATCCACTCTATCATATGCCTTTTCTAAATCCATAAATGAAATAAAAACTTCCCTACCTTCATCTACATACTGTTCACATATATGCTTCAATGTAAACACTTGATCTACACATCCCCTACCCACTCTGAAACCTCCTTGCTCATCCGCAATCCTACATTCTGTCTTACCTCTAATTCTTTCAATTATAACCCTACCATACACTTTTCCTGGTATACTCAATAAACTTATTCCTCTATAATTTTTACAATCTCTTTTGTCCCCTTTCCCTTTATATAAAGGGACTATACATGCTCTCCGCCAATCCCTAGGTACCTTCCCCTCTTTCATACATTTATTAAACAAAAGTACCAACCACTCCAACACTATATCCCCCCCTGCTTTTAACATTTCTGTCATGATCCCATCAGTTCCAGCTGCTTTACCCCCTTTCATTCTACGTAATGCCTCACTCACGTACCTCCCCCACACTTACATTCTGCTCTTCTTCACTCCTAAAAGATGGTATACCTCCCTGGCCAGTGCATGAAATTACCGCCTCCCTTTCTTCCTCAACATTTAAAAGTTCCTCAAAATATTCTCGCCATCTACCTAATACCTCCCTCTCCCCATCTACTAACTCCCCTACTCTATTTTTAACTGACAAATCCATACTTTCCCTAGGCTTTCTTAACTTGTTTAACTCACTCCAAAATTTTTTCTTATTTTCATTAAAATTTCTTGACAGTGCCTCTCCCACTCTATCATCTGCTCTCCTTTTGCACTCTCTCACCACTCTCTTCACCTTTCTTTTACTGTCCATATACTCTGCTTTTCTTATAACACTTCTGCTTTGTAAAAACCACTCATAAGCTAACTTTTTCTCTTTTATCACACCCTTTACTTCATCATTCCACCAATCACTCCTCTTTCCACCTGCCCCCACCCTCCTATAACCACAAACTTCTGCCCCACATTCTAATACTGCATTTTTAAAACTATTCCAACCCTCTTCAATCCCCCCACTACTCATCTTTGCACTAGCCCACCTTTCTGCCAACAGTCGCTTATATCTCCCTTATATCTCGCTTATATCTATCCCTATAATTTTTGCACTCTTTTGTCCCCTTTGCCTTTATACAAAGGAACTACCCCATATATATGTTAAAAACCCATGATGACATCACACATGACTGTCAAAGGCCTACTTTTGCCAAAAAATAATCTCTCTCTCTCTCTCTCCTACTTATGTTGAGGTTCATATTAGGAAGTTATATAGGCGTTATATTGAAATACATGGCAGAGCCCGGCCTGTCTGTATGCCTGTCCTCTAGGTCTAGTCAAGCTTCACTATCCATATAAAAACTCTTTATTGCTTTTGTTGGAGTGTGAGCTAGGTAACATATAACAGAATAACAGAGCGGCTAAAAGAGGTCAATATATCTGAAATGCGTAGGGAGACACTGGTCAGAGAAATAGCAAGCATCGAACTTAAGCTAAAAGAATCCTTTAGGAGTCAGGAATCGCGGGAAGAACTAAAAGCCATAAATGAAATCGAAAGAAACCCGAAGTATTTCTTCTCCTATGCCAAATCAAAATCGAGAACAACGTCCAGTATTGGGCCCCTACTTAAACAAGATGGGTCCTACACAGATGACAGCAAGGATATGAGTAAGCTACTCAAGTCCCAATATGACTCAGTTTTTAGCAAGCCGCTAACCAGACTGAGAGTCGAAGATCAAAATGAATTTTTTATGAGAGAGCCACAAAATTTGATTAACAAAGCCTATCCGATGTTATCCTGACGCCAAATGACTTCGAACAGGCGATAAATGACATGCCCATGCACTCTGCCCCAGGGCCAGACTCATGGAACTCTGTGTTCATCAAGAACTGCAAGAACCCCCTATCACGAGCCTTTTCCATCCTATGGAGAGGGAGCATGGACACGGGGGTCGTCCCACAGTTACTAAAAACAACAGACATAGCCCCACTCCACAAAGGGGGCAGTAAAGCAACAGCAAAGAACTACAGACTGATAGCACTAACATCCCATATCATAAAAATCTTTGAAAGGGTCCTAAGAAGCAAGATTACCACCCATCTAGAACCCATCAGTTACACAACCCAGGGCAACATGGGTTAGAACAGGTCGCTCCTGTCTGTCTCAACTATTGGATCACTACGACAAGGTCCTAAATGCACTAGAAGACAAAAGAATGCAGATGTAATATATACAGACTTTGCAAAAGCCTTCGACAAGTGTGACCATGGCGTAATAGCGCACAAAATGCGTGCTAAAGGAATAACAGGAAAAGTCGGTCGATGGATCTATAATTTCCTCACTAACAGAACACAGAGAGTAGTCGTCAACAGAGTAAAGTCCGAGGCAGCTACGGTGAAAAGCTCTGTTCCACAAGGCACAGTACTCGCTCCCATCTTGTTCCTCATCCTCATATCCGACATAGACAAGGATGTCAGCCACAGCACCGTGTCTTCCTTTGCAGATGACACCCGAATCTGCATGACAGTGTCTTAAATTGCAGACACTGCAAGGCTCCAGGCGGACATCAACCAAATCTTTCAGTGGGCTGCAGAAAACAATATGAAGTTCAATGATGAGAAATTTCAATTACTCAGATATGGTAAACATGAGGAAATTAAATCTTCATCAGAGTAAAAAAACAAATTCTGGCCACAAAAATAGAGCGAAACACCAACGTCAAAGACCTGGGAGTGATCATGTCGGAGGATCTCACCTTCAAGGACCATAACATTGTATCAATCGCATCTACTAGAAAAATGACAGGATGGATAATGAGAACCTTCAAAACTAGGGAGGCCAAGCCCATGATGACACTCTTCAGGTCACTTGTTCTATCTAGGCTGGAGTATTTCTGCACACTAACAGCACCTTTCAAGGCAGGTGAAATTGCCGACCTAGAGAATGTAAAGAGAACTTTCACGGCGCGCATAACGGAGATAAAACACCTCAATTACTGGGAGCGCTTGAGGTTCCTAAACCTGTATTCCCTGGAACGCAGGAGGGAGAGATACATGATTATATACACTGGAAAATCCTAGAGGGACTAGTCCCGAACTTGCACACGAAAATCACTCACTACGAAAGCAAAAGACTTGGCAGACGATGCACCATCCACCCAATGAAAAGCAGGGGTGTCACTAGCACATTAAGAGACCATACAATAAGTGTCAGGGGCCCGAGACTGTTCAACTGCCTCCCAGCACACATAAGGGGGATTACCAACAGACCCCTGGCAGTCTTCAAGCTGGCACTGGACAAGCACCTAAAGTCAGTTCCTGATCAGCCGGGCTGTGGCTCGTACGTTGGTTTGCGTGCAGCCAGCAGCAATAGCCTGGTTGATCAGGCTCTGATCCACCAGGAGGCCTGGTCACAGACCGGGCCGCGGGGGCGTTGACCCCCGGAACTCTCTCCAGGTAAACTCCAGGATTCAGGGAAATTGGTTACTGGACTTCAGTCCTGGAGGTGGGAAGAACAGTGCCTGCACTCTGAAGGAGGAGTGGGGATACGGCAGTTTGGAAGGGCGTCTAAGCTGTAATGTTGGAGCGCCTCTGGCAAGACGACGATGGAGTGAGTGATAGTGAAAGTGTTTCTTCTACTTTGGGTCATCCTACCTTGGTGGGAGACAGCTATGTTAAAAAAAAACTTTATGCAGAATACTCAACAGACATATTCCCCTGTACTTCTTTCATTCATTCACTCATTCTCATTCTCTCTATTTCTCTTTCATTTTTTCTCTCTCTCATTCTTTCATTCTCTCTCTCTCTCTCTCACTCTCTCTCTCTCTCTCTTTCTTGTCCCCTTTACTCTTATACAGAGGAAGCACGTATGCTCTCTGTTAATCCCCAGGTACCTTTCTTTCATGCAAATAATAAAACAAATATTAATCACTTAAGAATTCAACAGCATTAAATATATTTTATATACACTATGTATTAAAAAATTAAATATTGATTTATATATTTTGGACAATAAAGCTCAAGTCTAAGATATCAATGGAACAAATGACAATCTCACAACATATATTACCACACCTACCTATAGTAGTCGATATTGTGAGGAATTACCAGAGCATGATCTCTGCGCACAGCCTCCACAGCCTCACTCTGGGCAACTACTAAATCGGAATAAGTCGCTTCAACTTTCAACCTTTCTGCTATCCCCGGCACTTTGGTAAATGGTTCGTATCTTGTGTCGACCTTCGCTAGATCCTCAACTGTCACATTCCAGTAATGCATTCCAAGAAACTGTAAAGCACTGGAGAATTTATTTTGAATTATTATTTAATAAACAGTTTCAGCTGCTTTAGGGAAATATATTTGTGATAAATATTTGCAGAAATCATTATCATGAAATACTGTTTGAAAGCTGTTGATAAATGAATGTTTTGTTGGTAACAAGTGAACTACCAAACTTTCATATAATATACATCATCAATTATCACTAGAACATCAGTTATCATTTATCAGCATTCAACATCGTCCATTGGTCTATAGAGGACATTAGTAGAAAAAGAAATATATAAACAATAGATACCATAAAAAATAGAGATTATCTGGAGGTTGTGAAAATGTGGAGCACCAGATAATAGATGATCTATTGTTACCTCATTCTATCATTTTTTAAACAAAGTTAATAAAGTACAAGTAAAAACTTTCATTGATATTCCAACAAATACTCACAAGCACTCATTCAAAATCCTTTGTAATATATTGCATTCCCACTTTAATAAATTGAAAAGAAATAATATAAAAAACATTTCGACAATCATTATCTGATGTTCTACCTCATGAGAAAAATAAAAAATAATATTGTGCTATTTTACCTATGCATTTATTAACTTTAAAGTTGCATTAAATTTTGAAAACAATGGTTGCAACATAAGCAATAAGTCATAAAAAAATGCATAACATGAGGTCATCAACTTACAAATACAGTAAGACATACAGATCTGTACTCAAAATGAGGCTTTAATACAACAATGCAGGTTTTATAACCACAGAGCTATAGTACAAGCAAATGTGAAACACAACCCTCATATTACCTATTTTTTTTTTATTAAAATGTCAGCCATTTCGCACCAAGGCAGGGTGACCCAAGAAAAAAAGAAATACATTTATTATCACTCACTCCATCACTGTCTTGCCAAAGGCACACGTACACTACAGTTACAGTGATGGAGTGAATGATGATGAGGACTGTTTCTTTTTTGGGTCACCCTGCCTTGGTGGGAAATGGCCAATGTGTTAATAAAAAAAATAGTTCATATGAGGGTTATGTTTCATTGTTTTTTAAATAAAAACTCTCTTGCAAGTTAAAAAATGAGGAGAGCAACTTGCTCATAAGTTGAACGATCAGGTGGGTGGACCTCATGGGAAATATACCTTTTGTGACTAGTGGATTTTGTTTCCTTTTTATTAACAAGCATCTTCCAGGACTTGAAGCTTCGCACATCATCCCGGAGTAGCTGAAGTCCTTCTGAAAGATGGCGTCTTGTCTGCACTAACTGATTATACCGTTCCTCAGATACACATCCAATGTGGTAACCTAGAAAGAAAATTATTATTATTATTATTATTATTATTATTACTTATAGTAGTAGTAGTCATATTTTTTCAACATACCAACCATCTCCCACTGAGGCAGGGTGATTCAAAAAAGAAGAAAACTATAAACTTTCTTCTTCTTACATTTAGAATATATATACATGAGAAGGGGTTACCATCCCTTATTCCCGGCATTTTACTCACCTCTTACGACACACATGGCTTACGTAGGATGAATTCTGTTACACTTTCCCATGGGGGTAACGGGAATAAATAAGAAGAAAAGAAAATAGAAGAAAACTCTGATGAGTGTGTATACATGCATGTACATTCATGTGTAGTATGACCTAAATGTAAGTAGAAGTAGCAATATGTGCCTGTTAACTTGCATGTTTATGAAACAGACAGGAAAGACACAAGCAATCCTACCAGTGTAAAACAACTGCAGGTTTCCATTCCATACTATTTGGCAGGACAGTACTACCTCCCTGGGTGGTTGTTGTCTACCAACCTAATACCTATATTATTATTATTATTTTTTTTTAACAAGTCGGCCGTCTCCCACCGAGGCAGGGTGACCCAAAAAAGAAAGAAAATCCCCAAAAAGAAAATACTTTCATCATCATTCAACACTTTCACCACACTCACACATTATCACTGTTTTTGCAGAGGTGCTCAGAATACAACAGTTTAGAAGCATACACATATAAAGATACACAACATATCCCTCCAAACTGCCAATATCCCAAACCCCTCCTTTAAAGTGCAGGCACTGTACTTCCCATTTCCAGGACTCAAGTCCGACTATATCAAAAAGAACCAGTTTCCCTGAATCCCTTCACTAAATATTACCCTGCTCACACTCCAACAGATCGTCAGGTCCCAAGTACCATTCGTCTCCATTCACTCCTATCTAACACGCTCATGCACGCTTGCTGGAAGTCCAAGCCCCTTGCCCACAAAACCTCCTTTACCCCCTCTCTCCAACCCTTTCGAGGACGACCCCTGCCCCGCCTTCCTTCCCCTATAGATTTATATGCTTTCCATGTCATTCTACTTTGATCCATTCTCTCTAAATGACCAAACCACCTCAACAAACCCTCTTCTGCCCTCTGACTAATACTTTTATTAACTCCACACCTTTTCCTAATTTCCACACTCCGAATTTTTCTGCATAATATTTACACCACACATTGCCCTTAAACAGGACATCTCCACTGCCTCCAACCATATCCTTGCTGCTGCATTTACCACCCAAGCTTCACACCCATATAAGAGTGTTGGTACTACTATACTTTCATACATTCCCTTCTTTGCCTCCATAGATAACGTTTTTTGACTCCACATATACCTCAACGCACCACTCACCTTTTTTCCCTCATCAATTCTATGATTAACCTCATCCTTCATAAATCCATCCCGCCGACACGTCAACTCCCAAGTATCTGAAAACATTCACTTCTTCCATACTCCTCCTCCCCAATTTGATATCCAATTTTTCTTATCTAAATCATTTGATACCCTCATCACCTTACTCTTTTCTATGTTCACTTTCAACTTTCTACCTTTACACACATTCCCAAACTCATCCATTAACCTTTGCAATTTTTCTTTAGAATCTCCCATAAGCACAGTATCATCAGCAAAAAGTAACTGTGTCAATTCCCATTTTGAATTTGATTCCCCAAAATTTAATCCCACCCCTCTCCAAACACCCTAGCATTTACTTCCTTACAACCCCATCTATAAATATATTAAACAACCATGGTGACATTACACATCCCTGTCTAAGACCTACTTTTACCGGGAAGTAGTCTCCCTCTCTCTACACACCCTAACCTGAGCCTCAATATCCTCATAAAAACATCTTTACAGCATTTAATAACTTACCACCTATTCCATATACTTGCAACATCTGCCACATTGCTCCTCTATCCACTCTATCATATGCCTTTTCTAAATCCATAAATGCAATAAAAACTTCCCTACCTTTATCTAAATACTGATCACATATATGCTTCAATGTAAACACTTGATCTACACATCCCCTACCCACTCTGAAACCTCCTTGCTCATCCGCAATCCTACATTCTGTCTTACCTCTAATTCTTTCAATTATAACCCTACCGTACACTTTTCCTGGTAAACTCAGTAAACTTATTCCTCTATAATTTTTAGTCTCTTTTGTCCCCTTTCCCTTTATATAAAGGGACTATACATGCTCTCTGCCAATCCCTAGGTACCTTCCCCTCTTTCATACATTTATTAACCCTTTGACTGTTTCAGGCCCCTTTCTGAAACTGTCATTCTATGTCACTAAATTTTTGAAAAAAAAAATTATTTTTTCTTATGAAATGATAGAGAATCTTTTCCCGATGGTAATGACACCAAAAGTTTGAAATTTGGTCGAAAACTCATGGAATTACGCTCCTGCAAAATTAGCGGTCTCGGCGACATATGCGTATCGGCGATTTCGCCGACTTTGAGCCCTATTTTCAGCCAATTCCGTTGTTCCAGTTGACCAAACTCATAGCTATTTCCTTAGAACTCCATTTTATCTATCAGCTGAGTACAAGAAACCTCCCATTTACCAATTTGCACTACCCAATATTGTGGTCAGAAAATGGCAATTTGGCCAATTTCACGCAAACTAAAAAAGATGCCAATTTCAAAATAGGGTCCAGAATAAACAAGGTAGACATTCTTGGCACTAAAATAATATATCCTCTGTTCATTAGTCACATCTCTAGGCCCCTCTTATATTATTATTGCTTTCTATTTTGATTTTTTATTCATACAAAAAAATACAAAATTTACTGTTATGCAGACTACTGCATTATTGTAAAAATGGTATAAATAATATCAGTGCACTAGTGAAAGAATATTAGACTCCCCAGTTGACGTGTAATGGACGTGTGGTGTGATTTGTTTACTCCTGAACATTGGTAAAAATCAAACATTTCCGCTACTTTGAGCTCAGTTTCAAGGTCGTTTTCATCGTCAAAGTAATGAAAATCATTTCTATTTCTGTAATATGTTTTCCATTTCATCACCTAAGACCATGAAAACGCAAATACATCGATAAATACTATAGGAAAATACACCTCAAAGTCGGCGTTTTAATCCAAAAAAAACGATCAGTTTTTTTTTTCTCATTACGCACTGTGTGCCGCAGGATTTTTTTTATGTGGTGCACACTGATCACACAGACCCATTCTCTCACATGTGGGCCTACCAGCTTTCTTTCGCTTGATTTGAAGCCGCTAGAATTATTGAGTATATATATGTCTGAAACACTGGCTCGTAAGACGTATATATACGACCAAAACAGTCAAAGGGTTAAACAAAAGTACCAACCACTCCAACACTATATCCCCCCCTGCTTTTAACATTTCTGTTATTATTATTATTATTATTATTATTATTATTATTATTATTATTACAGTATTTTCTTTCTTTCAACACACCGGTCATGTCCCACTGAGGCGGGGTGGCCCAAAAAAGAAAAACAAAAGTTTCTCTTTTTAAATTTAGTAATCTATACAGGAGAAGGGGTTACTAGCCCCTTGCTCCCGGCATTTTAGTCGCCTCTTACAACACGCATGGCTTACGGAGGAAGAATTCTGTTCCACTTCCCCATGGAGATAAGAGGAAATAAACAAGAATAAGAACTAGAAAGAAAATAAAAGAAAACCCAGAGGTATGTGTATACATATGCTTGTAGATGAATGGTTCAGAGAACCGACATGTTGTTGAATTAGACACATGTGCAACTCTTGGGTATCTTTATTGAGGAAACATTTCGCCACACAGTGGCTTCATCAGTCCATACAAAGGAGAAACTTGAAGAGCAGGAGGAGAATGAGGTAATCAGTCCCTCAGCCTTGAGTTGATGTGGTCAGTCCATCAATCTTGAATAGAATACGGCATATGAGCGGAGAAGCAGCTTATAAACCGTAGACAGGTGAGGGGCAGCAGTCGTAGGTGGTGTCACATTTGTCCAATGTGGAAGTAGGTCTTGCCCAAGGGTTAGGCAAGTGAAGAATTCCCAAGTATTAAGATCCCAAGAAGTTGCAGTGTCTGACAGGAATGTAGATGAATGGTTCAGAGAACCGACATGTTGTTGAATTAGACACATGTGCAACTCTTGGGTATCTTTATTGAGGAAACATTTCGCCACACAGTGGCTTCATCAGTCCATACAAAGGAGAAACTTGAAGAACAGGAGGAGAATGAGGTAATCATTCCCTCAGCCTTGAGTCGATGTGGTCAGTCCATCAATCTTGAATAGAATACGGCATATGAGCGGAGAAGCAGCTTATAAACCGTAGACAGGTGAGGGGCAGCAGTCGTAGGTGGTGTCACATTTGTCCAATGTGGAAGTAGGTCGTGCCCAAGGGTTAGGCAAGTGAAAAATTCCCAAGTATTAAGATCCCAAGATTGATGGACTGACCACATCGACTCAAGGCTGAGGGACTGATTACCTCATTCTCCTCCTGTTCTTCAAGTTTCTCCTTTGTATGGACTGATGAAGCCACTGTGTGGTGAAACGTTTCCTCAATAAAGATACCCAAGAGTTGCACATGTGTCTAATTCAACATACATATGCTTGTACATGTATGTGTAGTGTGACCTAAGTGTAAGTAGAAGTAGCAAGATGTACCTGAAATCTTGCATGTTCATGAGACAGAAAAAAGGACACCAGCAATCCTACCATTGTGTAAAACAATTACAGGCTTTCATTTTACACTCACTTGGCAGGACGGTAGTACCTCCCTGGGCAGTTGCTGTCTACCAACCCACTACCTAATTATTATTATTTTTTTTTTCAACAAACCGGCCGTATCCCACCAAGGCAGGGTGGCCCAAAAAAGAAAAACGAAAGATTCTCTTTTTAAATTTAGTAATTTATATTGCTCCCAGCATTTTAGTCGCCTCTTACAACACGCATGGCTTACGGAGGAAGAATTCTGTTCCACTTCCCCATGGAGATAAGAGGAA